ATTGAAGCTCGATGAAGCCTAAATTCGAGCTTGATTGAAGTGAAAGAATAGTTCCTCAATGCTCACCAAAAGGTTCCATGATTTTGAATGCCAAATTACCTCTATTATTTATAGAAGTTAGTGTGATGGCGCTTCTATGTTTCTTAGCAATGTGGTTGTTTTGTTTTCATATTTTTACTCTTTAGACTTTTGGGATGCTCTTCTATGTTTCTTAGCCATGTGGGATTGTTTTTAAAAAAAAATTAAACCAAACAATATCATTTTGTTTTTTTAACCCCAAATTTTTTATTTAATAATTATAATTATTATTTAAATTATGTTTCACCTAAATATTATGTTGTAGTTAATTTGAATCATTTTGTTTCACTTGATTTTATGGTTTTTAACTTATATATTATGATTTGCTTTGAATATGACTTGTGATATAAAAAATTATTTTTTATTAAATTTTTGTTATTTTTATTAATTTTTTAAATAATTATGACGTCCCGGTTATTCCGTCGGACATTTCGACCGGTTGACCAATGAACCGGTAGCATGACCGGTTCGCTAACCGGTCCGGTTCTGAAACCATGGTTTGTACAAGATTCTATCAAAGTTATCTAAGAAACTAAGTGCTAAGTGTGTCTGTCCCAGTTCGCTTTTATACAGGGAGCTGTGGATTGGCCTTTATTGCTAATGAAGGGATCGATTATTGGAGAAACAGGGCTACAAGGGGTGGTTCTAAAAGTTGACTTTCGGAGAGCCTACTTTTCTGTTGAATGGCCTATTCTACTCAGAGCAATGAAGGAGATGGATTTGGTATGAAATGGTGCTCATGGATCTCACAGTCTCTTTCCTCGCTTTTATTTCGATTCTTGTAAATGGCTCCCCTTCGGATGAGTTTTCTATGGCTAAAGGGCTTAACAGAATGTAGTCTCTCGCGCTTTTATTAATATAGTAGGGGAGCTGCTGCATTTGATGCTTTCTAAAGCAGTGGATAAAGGTCTGTTCCAAGGCTTTATTATTGGGAATTCTGAAAATTCATTTCGGCTATCACATCTTCAGTTTGCTGACGATCTCATCATTTTTTGTCAAGCTTCACTTACCCAATTAAAAACGTTAAAAGAATTTTGAGGATTTTCAGTATAATGGCGGGGTTGCATTTAAATTTAGCGAAGAGTAAACTTTTGGGATTAACGTTGATGAGGAAATCCTATCTGATTGGGCGTTGGAAGTGGGCTATTCAGTTGATCGTTTTCCAACAAAATATTTGGGACTCCCCATCGGTGCTAGGAAGAATTCGGAAGCTTTATGGGAGCCAATCGTTAAAAAATTTAATTCTAAACTAGCCGGGTGGAAAGCTTCTTCTCTTTCTTTGGCTGGTAGGACAGTTCTATTGAAATCTGTGTTCCCTACCCATATTCTTCTTATCGTTTTTTAAAATGCCTTGCAAAGTAGGCAAGAAGTTAAATTTTAATGGCTAAATTTTTATGGGGTGACAGCGAGGATAAGAGGAAGATTCACTTAATTGGAGTTCAGTTTGAAAACCTATGAGCAGTGGTGGCCTTGGAGTTCTTGATTTGAATCTTACGAATCGAGCTCTATTGGGGAAATAGGTGTGGAAGTTCGCAAATGAAAAGAATTTCGTATGGAAAAGAATGATATGTAGCAAGCACAAGATCAGTTGCAACTCGATCTATCAGCAAGATTATTTCACCTAGATCCTCTTAGATTTTGAGAAGTATTGGCAATAATTTTTGGAAGAATGATTCGGTGGGTTTATGTCTTAGATCAAATTCGAAGCTGCAAGTTGGTAATGGAATGTCTATTTTATTTTGGATTGATTCGGATAGATGAGGTTCCTCTAAAATATCTTTTCCCTAGAATCTATGCATTATCTCCTAACAAATGGGGCAAGGTTGTTGAATTTGGCAGTCATGAATCAAACTGTTGGGTGTGGAATGTTTGCACGAGGAGGAATTGTCTGACTGGGAGTTAGATCAATGGATGGATTTGATGTTGAAATTGAAGGATATAAAAATTTCAGATTCTGTAGAGGATAGACTTTCGTGGTCAGCTAGTGGGGATGGATTATTTTCGGTCAAATCTTGCAGGAATGTGCTCGGGTTGGAAGTTGGGAACAAGGATCTGTGGTCAAAGGGGGTGTGGTTGGGACTGTCCCCACCAAGGGTTGAAGCCTTTCTTTGGCAGTTAGCCCATCAGAAAGTGGCAGTAAAAGGAGTTGGTTAAAGAGGAATGTCCTTAGGGGAAGATATCCTTTGCCCATTTTGTAAGAAGCATGAGGAATCAGTGCAGCATTTGTTTATTACGTGTAATGTAGTTTGGGAATTATGGAATAAGGTAAAAGCTTTGGGATTTATCTGTAGTTTTACCTAAGGACTCTCTTCTTTACTTATCTCGTGAGGGAATTTGAGGGTGAATTCATTGATTTGGAAGTTTATCCCGGATTCATTTTTGGTCTATTTGGAAAGCAAGGAATGAGATTGTGTTTCAAGGATTATCTCTTGATAGGATTTCTCTGTTTTTCATTGTAAGATTTAGGCTACCTAAGTGGTTTAAGCCAAGTATCCTAAAATTCCAGTACAGGAGGATTTGCTCATTGGGGATCCTTCACTTGCAGATGGAACTTCGTTTCTGAATTAAAGGATTGCTCTGTGCTTTGGGCTACCCCTTGTTGATTTTTTGAAGATGAACGTCGATGGAGTTGTAAGGTTAAGTGACTCGGTTGGTGGTATCCTTAGGGATTGGAATAGTTGCACTCTGTTGACTTTTTCAGAGAATATCGGTCAAGGTTCCCCACCAGTTGCTGAGTTAAAGGCTATTAAAAGAGGCATTGAAATCTTTTTGGCATCACGATGGTTTTCTGTCACTAGGCTGATTGTTGAGAGTGATTGCAAGTCAGCAGTGGAGGGTTCACTTTCCGGCATTGGCACCTGTTTTCTTATTGCCTCTAGTTAAAGAAATTCTATCACTCTTCTCTGGAAAGGTGTTGTTAATTAGGTTGATTCCAATGGCTTGTAATGGGGAGGCATATAGTTTAGCAAAGATGGGGATTGGTTTATTGTAAGACTATAGATACTTGTTATTTTCCTTCCCTGTCAGTAGGTTTCTCAAGTAGGTGGAGTTATTAAGTTTTATGTCATGATTTCTGGTGTAATTGTTAAGTTTTATGTAATTTTGGTTCAACAATAAAACGAGGCACTCTTTTCTCCCTCCAATAGTGGATCCTTTCTGTTGGGAAAGGGCTATCTATGAGGGAGGTTTTTAATGGCCTTCTATTCCTATCAAAAAATAAATAAAACCCTTTTAAAAAAACCATTCTTACAAGCTCGGAGATTGATCCAGATTACCAAAACCCCTGTTCAACCAGATTGTTTACAATTCAAGTTGCTAATTGCAGATGATAATAAAGTAATGAATGTATAATGATTTATACATGTTTGAGGTCCCGACTAGATGGTTAGATTCTGTAGTCTATCCATTATTTGGCCCTTAGCAGCATGTTTATTTGATCTGTCAATTTCCTTTCTTTGGTTACTCTTTCTCCAATTATGCTTTTGTGTATGCAAATATATGTATTTGTTGACCGTAAATGACTATTCCATCTCATGTTATTATTTGGCGAGTGAAACAATGATAACAAGAGAAAGTATTACACAATTATTTTCTAGAATAATTCTGGGTGCAATGTCTTTAGAAAATATGATGCTACTATAAATTGAACCACAGTTTTATTATTATAGTCAAGGTTATCATTAGAATGTGATGATACCATTTATGCTAACATGACAATTTAAAATGCGAGCCCTCATTGTTTATTGTTAGACCAACAATTGATGCTGTAGAAATGTCACAATTTCTCCTTGCTAACTCTTTTATAAGGAACACTACTTGTATGCTTTTTAAGTTTACTTGAATGTGTTTTACTAGTTGCCCATCTGTTTCTTTTGTGTTTCTTTATTTTTCCCATTAAGTGAATACTAAAAAATTAGTTTGTAATAATTTAAATATGATAAGCTACATCGGTGATTTCTTCTACAAATCAGGCTTGCCGAGTGAAATTGTTGACAGTTAGTGAAGGTGTAGTGTAGTTAAGATCCAATTCAATGAAGCTCACTTTTAATCCCAAACTAATTGTGCTCGATTACAAGAATCTTTTTTTGTCATTCAGTTTGGTGAAGGACTATCCTCTGAAAGATCTGAAGAGGGCAAAAAAATTCTTTCTTTGTTTTGTAGGATGGAATGCTTAAGCACAAAAGTACTTATGAAATTATTTCTCCTGAAGATATCGGGCTTGAAAGGTCCAATGAAGCTGGTATTGTCCTTGGAAAACTTAGGTAGGTATTTCAGCTTTCAAAAAACTTTCCTCAATGGTAATTTTTTTTTACTTCTAGATGGTGTTTAAAATGATGTAGATGGATCATGGTGATAGTTTTAGTGCAGCAAATGCTATAAGTGGCTTTCAAGTTGCTTTTCAATGTTGGATGCAATGTTGCAACACATCTAACAAAAATAGCTGAGGATTTAACATAACATACCTATATTTTTTGTCACTGGTACTCAGAATATTATATTTGGTTTTTTATCGAATCTTATATCTAGTCTCGATGAGTACTTTTTAACTTCATTTGAGGATGGTTGAATCGCTTCTATGGTTTGGATTGATCTTATAATAGGATTTTCCTTGGCCTTTTCATGTTCATATGAAAAAAGTGATTAGTTGCTTATATCAAGGTAATCAATGTTTTATTTATATCACCTGAGTTGCTAGGCACAAAATGTTTCCCGGCCAAATAAAATAGGGTACATTTTTAGCATATTTGATAAATATAATGAACTCTACTTAATATTCTTGAATAGCTTGGTAAGTTATCAGAAATATTTTGAAGCACAAAGGGTCACTCCAATTGTTAGATTTCAGGGAAGTTTCTGTGCAACTTGAATATAGACTTCTTTCTCGTCTCACTAAATAAATAATTAGCAACTTTTGCAAGATTGATTCCATCTTCTGTTATTTGGCTGCTACTAAAATTTATGCATTTATGATATTTTTCACGTTCATGTAGTTGGTATTTCCCTATTCTCTTTTTATTATTACGATTTCGTTTGTTACAAAACTTATGATTCTTCTCTTAATTCTTTTTCTTTTTATATTCATTGGTAAAGTGGACGTCATGCTTTGAGAGACAGATTGAAAGAGGTATGCTGCTATTTGGCATGTGTAAAATTGATGAATTACCTCTCTTTGCTTCATCTAAGCGTCTAGGTCTTGCTGTTTACCTCAGCTTGGTTATGAGCTTGACGATGAACAGCTTGGCAACATATTCTGGCGCTTCAAAGCAGTAGCTGAACAAAGAAGGTGAATGAGATTCTTTATTGGTCTCCTGGATTTCTTTCTTCTGACATCGTCATTTCAGTCTACTATATATATATATAATATTTCAAATTGAAAGAGTTGTGTTTTAAAATTAAGCTGTCTTCAACTTTGGAATTTCTGTTTCTAATGATATCTACTAAGAAAATGAAAATTGAGGAAAGGTACGTAGAGAACGATTCTGCATAAAAAATTCCCTTGGGAAGCCGACATATTATTTTGGATTATATTTTTGAACAGTTTTTCTAGTTCATATCTTTTTAATCATTTTTAAAAACTGGTTTTCTAGTCTTAGGAGCTAAACTATTTGTTTGTATGGGAAGAAGAAAAAAATGAGATACAATACTGAGACAGGAAATAAATAATGCTTTTATTGGTATTTTTTTCCTTTTCCTTTTCCCTATTTACTATATACCAGTAGATTCATAAGCTTCATTTTGATGTTGAATGTACTTTTAAAGCAAAAATCACCTATCTTTCTTGATCCATTATGGAATTATGACATGGTTTTGGCTGAGTGATGGCTTAGCAAATAGTTAATGATGAATGTTGGTCGAATAGTGTTCATGTAATCGAAAATATTTTCAAGATCATATGGTGATTATGAAAGGCAGTGGAAAGTAATGAAAGCTTGTATCGATTGGCTTTTGAAGTTGCCGTACTTCATGGTATTTTTAGTTCTATTTGGAAATTCAGATTATTTTAATTGACTTGGATTGTTTTGTATTATATCTTGATCTTAAAAGGCACATTAACTGTTGTTCTAAAGAAGGGTATATAAATGCATGATTTCTTTTGTTTGTTTACGATAATGTGGTCTATACTTATTTTGTTTGCTGGTGTTCCAGAGAGTCACCGATGCCGATCTAATAGCATTGGTTTCAGATGAAGTTTTTCAACCGGAAGTTGTTTGGAAGCTTGATGATTTGCAGGTAACTAGAAATAGTTTTGAACCATAGTTATATGAATGTGACATGGGGTGTGCGACAGATATTTCATGGTATAGTTGTCGTACGTTTCATTAGTTTGTTATTATGGATTGCAATATTATACAAGAGGTTGTGTTGCTTTAAACTATATATATTATGCTTTTGCTTTAATTTGAATATGTAGATAATAAGTGATACTTTACTATGTTGATCATCTGATTTGAATTGTATATAAATGGAAAACATCAAATGCAGGTTACTTGTGGAACTCTTGGCCTTTCTACTGCCACGGTTAAACTCATTGATGCTGCTGGGGTGGAGCATGTTGCGTGCTCAGTTGGAACCGGGCCAGTAGATTCAGCTTATAAAGCTATTGATCTCATTACAAAGGTTTGATACCGAAGATCACAAGTTTCCCTTTATTTACTAGAATTTTCTTTTGGGGATCAGTCAGATATGGTGCATGATTCCTTATCAGGGTTATTAAGAGTTTGTCCATGAGTTCTTGATTTTATTATATTGAAGGTTAATTCGGCGATTATTCTTCAATATAGGGTTTCATTGGCTCTAACTACAGTGTTTAGTTCATAATTTTCAGTTTGAATATTAAACTTAAGTTAGTTTTTCACCATTTTAGTAAACCTTCTTCTTTCCCTTTCTCCCACAATTTTATCGTTTTAGTCCTACGCCTCTGATTTCTCTGTTTTCCTGTTTATTCACTCAATACTTATCTTCCCAAACGTCTTTTGAGACACAAAAATAGGGCTTCTAAGTTGTAACCATATATCTTCTTGAAAATATTTTAATAACTTTGATTTAGAATTTAGGTTTTCCAAATTGAATATCTTCCGTTCTTCTCTTTGTACCATGTTCCTCTTCCTCCGAAGCTTAGTTTAATTGGTTCATACAGCCACTAGTAAGGGATGGCTTGTATGCAACGGTTTCCTGTGTTCATAATGGTGTTCTGTGGCATCTTCTATATAAGGAGGGATTCAAATTGATGTCAATAGTTAATAGTTCTGCGTTCTCGTGTTTGAATACTGTCTCTACATATTTTTGCTAAGGTTTGTGGGCACACTTCATTTTGCAGGAACCAATAACACTACTCGAGTACTCCATGAATGCTGTTACAGAAGGCATTGATGCAATCGCCACCACTCGTGTTCTAATTCGTACCGAGAATAGTCATGTTTTAACTCATGCTTTGACGGGTGAAACTGTTCATCGAACATTTAGGTATGGTTCTTCTCACTCTTGTTTCCATTTGACATTTTTACTACTTCCACAGTCTGAAATTCAGTGCATAAAATTGATGTTTCGTGGCAGTGGAACCGGGGCAGGAATGGATATCGTTGTTTCGAGTGTGAAGGCTTATATTGGTGCATTAAATAAGATGTTGGGTTTCAAGGAGCATGGTCAGACAAAAGGTTCTGTAGAACAAACTCTGGTTTCTGCTTAGGTCGTTGTAATCGATACATGTATACTTCATGTCAGTTTTGTGACTCCAGTTGCTCTTCTGTTAGCTGGAATGCTTTGAATGGTATTATTGTATACAGGAATCTTGATAAGTGTAAGAAAAGACATTGTTGGTTTTTGTTATTTATTGTAATAAGAAGTCAAAACTGAGTGAAGCAAAAAAGAAAGATGCTCTTCATTTTTGGCTAGTTATAGTCTTGAAACTCATGAGCTCCGATATCGAATCCGAACAGTGAGACGATAAAAGATGTCACAAAGGAAAACATAATTTGGATAGTCTCATCAGACGATCATAGGCGGGGTAGATTGGACATGTTGGCTTTTGTCTTTTGATGGAATTTTGTAAGTTTCAAGACATTTTTCTCTAGAGGATGATGAAAGAAATATTTTGGTGTCATCGATAGCCAGAGAAAATACCAAACGACAATGGGTGAAATAGTGTCAATGAGCAATGACAATTAAGGTTACTGGGAGAGAGAAGAAACAAAAAGGAGGTTTGAGACTTGAGAGAGGGAAGAAAAGAGAGGAAAGAGAACTTTGGTTCGATGCCATCACTTATCGGAGAATGTGGTCGAAGTGACTTCGACAGTGAGCAGTTATCGTGTGGTTTAAAAGAAAGATTGAAAGAGTTTAGTAGTCAAAATTTAAGAGTTAAATTGATTTTGTTTAAAGGGTAAAGTATAGTAATGGTCATTGAACATTTCTGAAGCTTGCATTTAGGTCCTTCAACTTTTAAAACTCGCAATACAGTCCCCTAACATTTATTCCGTTTGCAATATGGTCCCTCAACTTAAACCACTATTAGAAAATTAGGGTAACGGTCATTGAACTTTTCAGGCACTTAATTAGGTCTCCCGACTTTTAAAACTTGTAAAATAGTCCTCAATTTCATTCTAAACCCCAATTTTTAAAGTAATTCAATTTTATTCTAAACCCTAAATTCCAAAATAATTCAATTAAATTTTAAACCCCAAATTCTAAAATACTTCAATTTAAGGTTTAGAATGTAATTGAATTATTTTGGAATTTAGGGTTTAATGAAATTAAGGTGTTTTGAAATTTTGAACATGAATTTACTATTTGACAATATTTATTTCAATATAAATTTGAGGTTTGTTTAACTATTTATATCAATTTTGAATAACAATATGCATTGATTAAACATCCCGAATAGCAAAATGGAAGCACTCTATTCGGTATTTCAACTTCCCATAAACTCTGCTCATTTCTTCAACTTTTGACTATATGAAATTCGAAACTCTCATTTGGAGCATTATGATTTAAGTACCACTATGTTCTTGCATGCTATTTTTTTATCAGATTTGAGTACCTAACCCTTCAGTGCTTTACAGTGCGATCATTTATGATTCACCTGAATTTGCTCATACAGTGATCATTTATGATTTAGTAGAATCAATGGTTTAGAATGAAATTGAATTACTTTGGAAATTGGAGTTTATAATGAAATTAAGGATTGTTTTACAAGTTTTAAAAGTTGGGAGACCTAAATTCAAGTGTCTGAAAAGTTTAATGACCGATTATATAATTTACCCTAATTTTCTAACAGTGGTTTAAGTTGGGGGACCATATTGCAAACTGAATAAATGTTAGGGGACTGTATTGCAAGTTTTAAAAGTTAGGGGACCTAAATGAAAGCTTCAAAAATGTTCAGTGACCATTACTATACTTTACCCTTGTTTAAATTTTAAGGTTAAATTAAAAAGTTAGAATGTCAAAAATTCACCTTAACGTTGAATTAAATAGTCATTTATACCTCTATTTTTTAAGTACTCTAGCTCCCAATATTTCATTTTGGGCGAAAATGACTCCTAATTAGATGAAAATCTTTAATTAACTAATTATCAATATTTTTTTCTAATATAAAAAGTCTTCTATGTCCAAAGTATTGATGTGATACTATCAATTGTGCATAAGTGATAATGTGATATATTTCAATCAGTAATTTATCGTCCAACTCAGAGGACCATTAATTCTTTAACGAGAAAATCAAATTTAAAATATATGAATAGTTGGATGATCATTTTATAATTTTTAATAATTAATGAACACAATAAGTAAAACTCTATAGTTGGGGATCATTTGTGTACTTTACCCCAAAAAATATAGCACCAAAATAAGTATAGTTGGAAGCTGACCTATACATATAATCTAATATTTGCCTCCCGAGCCCCGTCTGAGAACGGAGAGCCCCAGGCTTCTCTATCTCTCAAACAGTTTCTTCATTCTCTCTTTCTCAAGAATGGCTGATTATGCCGTGGATTCCGATTTACACGTTGGTTCCAAGCGTATAACCTCTACTGACACTGATCAACAAGAAGAAACTCTTCTTCAACTTCCCTCTTCTCTCTCTGAGACCACCGCCGACCGCCGGGATTCAACCCCACCAGACCGCCAAGAAGAAACAGCTATCGATCATAGCTGCCCAAAGAAGAAAGCCAAGTGCTTTCCCCTTCTTTCTGAGGGGAACCAAGAAATGGTTCTCCATTCTTTCACTCAAAAGAATGTCTATCTTTCTGGGCCTTTCGAGAAAGAAGAGATATATGATGTGGAGACCAACGAGGGTTCCTTTGGAGTTCAAGAAGTTGGTATCCAAGTCAATGCCATTGAAGCTGATAACAAGGAATATCTGGAGACTTGTTTGGGATTTGAGGAGAAAAGGCTTATCAAAGGAAAGGATTTGGAATCTGAAAATGTCTTGGAAGCTGAAAGAAACGACTTTTGGATGAGCTTGAAGTTGGAAACAACTTTGGTCTTGCGACGAACTCTTCCAAGATTGATGATGTAAACAACGTTGGAGGTACCAAAGGACTTGATTTGCCTGTTAAAGGGTCTTTAATGATTGAAGTTGTCGATGATACGGCTTTGATTGGATCATTTCCTCTCTCCAGAACTGGAAATGAAAGTGGAAAGGATGAAATTGATTGTACCAAAACTAAAGATCAAGAAGAAAGGGAAAGAATGTAAAAAATGTTTTGGGGGAATCTGGAACGGTGAGACATACTGAGTCAACCAAAATATTTGAAGTTCAAAATAGGAAGACAGAAAGCGGAAATCAAAATAAGACAATGTACTCAAGAAAAGAGTTAGAGGCTTTGAGGTTTGCAATTGGTGTGGAACAGAGGAATTTCTGGAGGGATGTATATAACAGTCTTGGTAAGATGTGATCAGAGAGTATGAGGACTTGGGAAGGTGGAAGCAGCAGAAGGAAATCAACTCAGGTTCGAGGGAAGTTCTACCGCTGCACTTTTAATATACAACTAAAAAATATTAAATAGCAAAATCGGATAAAAAAATTATCGAAAATATTATTATTTTTATCTAAACCTTAATGTCTTTTAACATTTTCAGTAAAATATCTTAAAAATAACAAAATCGATAGAAAAAAATAACAAAATAGATAGTGCATTTTTCAAATTCGAGCTCCTCACGTCATGATTTTTGTAGAGAAATAGGGTCTCTCGCGGATTCAAATAACGGGACAAAAACGTAATACCATAGCGTCACTATTTCAAACCGAAATTTAAGAAAATAACGATGGTTAGTGGATTCACGCCAAAATTAACCGTTACTTCCGCAATCTAACAGGTAAATATGAACAGCACTGATAATATATACCATCACTGCAAAACAAAAATAAAAAGCTAAATCAAAGGATTATATTCCTCTGATGAATAAAAAAAAAGCGAAAATTAATTGAAAAAATGGTAAAAACTCAATTAAATCTGTCAAAATCATACAACAGTACAAAAAATATCAATCTAAAGTTGAAAGTTGAAATTTACATTTCCAGCAATAAAATTTGAGAAATGCAAATCTCTCTTAAACTCTAAAACAAAAAAACAAAAAATAAAACATATCAAGCAAGACTCACCAAATATCAAATTGGGAAGACAAAAGTGTTTTGAGGGAAATATTGTTGTTGCATACGTATGTGAAGCTTCTCCGCCGGTGTTGAGCAGTAACGACGATTAATAGGCTTCCATTTGAGAAGGTAAAATAAAAAAATTCTTACACCTTAGATTTAATTTTGTAGAGATGAAACTTGATTTTTTTTGTTTAAAAAGATTAAAGGTTGGGGGAGGGGAAGTTGAAACTTGAGAGAGCTTTATCGTGAGAGTTGAGAAAGCTTTTGTGTGGAAGTCAGTTTGGGTAGGGGAAATTGAGAAACTATCTTTCTGCCGTTTGCTCAAAGAAAAAAATAATTTTAATTTTAAATCATTAAATCATAATTTAAGAGAGAATATTATGGGTTATGGAATGTTTTCCATTTTAAATTAGAGATGATTTTTTTTTAAAAAAAAATTTAAAATTATTTGAAGAGATTGGTTTTTTTTAAATAATTTTTAAAATATAATTTTAAAGTATATATTAATTTGACATCCTTCTCATATTTTAAAATTTAAAATTTAATCTTTAGTTTAAAATGTAAACTTTTATTTTTATTTAATTTAGTTCTAATTTCAGTAACATAAATTTCTGACATTTAAATTTTATATTTTTAAGATGAAGGTGAAAGATTTGATCTTCCTCGTCATTTCACTAATTGGTGAAATTGCTACCACTCCATTTCTAAGGTATGCTTTGCATACCAAAAAAAATCTATTTTTCTATAACATTTGATTAATTAACATTGTTTTTGGATTTTAATTTACTTTGTTTGATTGGTTTTAAATTAAAAGAGAGACATCCATAATGAAAACTATTGAACATCTTAACATAATTAGGTTGCACGAGATATGTGTTGTTTTAAGTATTATGCATGTTAACATAGTTAGGTTACATGATGTATGTGTTGTTTTTTTATCTTTAGGAATTATTAGCATTGTGACCTGAGATAATCCAGTCTTCTAATGATGAACAACTTGATTCTGCTGCGGGCTTAATCTCTAACCTTCCTGAAAAATAACCATACCACTTGGTCGCTTGTGGATGCTGCTGCAATTCCAACCAATTTTCATTTTCTGCACAGGGGCGGGCATAATAATGATTTCGATAGAAGCAAGTAGAAAATGCTGTCGGAGTCGGAGACATCTGCCGTTTAACCGCTACAACAAATCTGGAATGGCAAAAGTGAGCAGCTGAAGCTGGTGTCATCCCCATGTTAGTTCGATTGTTGGATTCTGGAACTACCTTGACCAAAAACCATGGAGCTGCTTCGCTGTCCCGGTTTTCACATGGATTTCACATCAGCTAAGCCTACCAACACCAAATTTAAGGGGTTCTGGTGCTTGTTAGCTTCACCAGAGACCGGTTGCCAGGTTCATGGAGGAATTGATTCCGTTGAATCAAGCAGAAGTAGGGTCCATAGGCAATTTGAACTTTCCCCTCTGTTCTATGTTTTCTTTCCATTTAAAAAAAATATGTAAAGATATTGTTTAGGGGCACGTCGGCTTTAATAAAACAATCTATAATATTTATTGCAGCTTGCATTTTTCATGACTCTAAAGCTGCCATTTTTACTTCCAACAAAACTTGAAAACATAAGGGCCATGCCTCAAGTTCAGGACTTCGGCAATGATACAACTTCTATACAAGACAAAATGCAGTAAACAATCTAAATGTTTTAAGATGCCTACCTTTCAACATTTATGTGTAGAAAGATGAAACACACAACTTCAAATGCCGTCTGGACAAGATACCAACTTCGTGGAAATGCAAACCAGGTTGATTTAGGGTTCGTTTCCTTGTTCAAGAAGGCTCTGCGTGTTATAACCGCTTCCACGAGCCCTTTCTTTCCAAATTTGTTCCACTTCGACGAACGTCAATCCCTTGGTCTCCGGAACATATACAGTCACAAAAACGACTGCAAGCAAAGCTATGCCAGCGAGGATCAAGAAAGTAACTCCAGTTCCTTCGGCTTCAGCGATTGTAAGAAAAGTCTGGGCCACAATCAAATTTGAAATCCAATTCACTGTGGCCGACATGCCCCCGCATATCCCTCGGTATTGCTCAGGGTATATCTCCGAGTTCAGGGTCCACGGAACGGGGCCCATTCCAGGTGCGAAGAATGCAATGTAAAGAGCTAATCCAATGACTGCCAGCCATCCATAAATTCCATTAGAAGAACCAGTTGTTTTGGCAAAGAAAGCCCCGGAAAGGATGACAAGGGACACAATGACACCGGATAAGCTCGAAAGCGCCAGATTTTTCCTTCCGAAATGATCGATAAGGTAAATGCCCACAACAGTTCCTGCTGCATTCATGGCAGCGACAATAAGCGACAGCAGAAGAGCAAGCTTATTAGAATTGAAGCCAGCCATCTGGACAATTGTTGGACTATAGTACATCACGGTATTGATACCAGTGAACTGCTGCAAAGCCTGCATATAATCATAGTTTCTATGTCATAAAAATAGTTATAAGAGTTGTATTCACAGTAATGTTCTTAATTAACTCCGAGTACATTTCATGTTGAAAGATATAAAGGTCACGAGTCATTTTAAGTGCATTCAGAATTAGACAAAGTGACCTCTCAAAAAATGATGCGGCTACAAGTTTATTTTTTAAAAAAAGTATATAAAAAGAAAAATGTAATTCTGATGGACAACACATTCCAAAAGAATGTTGATGTTAGAATCTTTACCTGAAGTCCCGCCCCAGCCAGAAAGGCAAGTCTAATTTCTTTTGTTCTGAAAACATCCAAATATCTGACGGTTTTCTTTCTCTGACGTTCTTCTTCTTCTGCGGCAGAAAGGTGATCCACTTCATCCTCTAATCGAGCAATTTCGTAAATATTAGAAAGCACCGCTATGGCTTTATCTTTCTCATTCTGTACAATATGATGGGATGGCTCGTTAAAGGAGTATACAGGATCCACAAAGAAATTTCCCCAAAAGTTAGATGTACCTTCATGAATAGCCATCGTGGAGACTCCGGCATACAAAGCATAAGGAAGAACTGAATGACAGCAGGTATGGCTGAAACTCCAAGCATCCATCTCCAAGTTCCTTCAACCTGTTCATGCAACAATGTTTTAGACAGCTACTAGAGGTACTCGAGAACATTTTGGAGTGCATGAAGTCCTATGATGCATAAAGGCCAGGTAAGAACTAAGTCCGGACCCATGAACCATCATCCTTCACCCATTCATATGCTTCTCTCACCTCAAATAACATTAAGACCTTATCGTATATCCATAATTAAACGGATATGGTATCAACTAGTTATGGCAACAAAACCACTGGTTTAAATGGATATGATTTTAACAAATTATGCTAACAGAATCATACACTTATTTCTCTTAAAATGCTTCAATTTGTGTTGAACGAATAATGGTTCTCCAAGATTTCCAGAATCATACGCTTATTTGTGTTTATAAAACCACTGGTCTCTATGGGAGGAAACACAATAAGCTTACTCCCGATAGCCTTAAAAGTGAATCTATATTATAAGATCAAATTCGAAGCCCTTAGCTATCTATGATTGGACGATTAGCATCCAAAAGAATAATGGATTCGGAAAGAGGGTAATAAAGCTTCTGAACAAACTTTTAACCTCCTATGTTCATTTCTTTAGCACACATTTTACAGAAAAAACATATTTACGCTACATACTAGGTAAAATTCAACATGCTGAAAATAATGGCTGCACATGCATAACCTAACTAGCAGAAAAGAACGAGTGAATTCCGTCACTGGTGTTTCTGTTCAAGACCAATTATATCCAAACCCCGTATTTATCTGGGATACGGTGTCTCCAAAACTGCAAAACTGAACACCATTTCAAGCCAGCAGAAAAAATAATGAGCATAAATATACATAGAACAAAATTATCCAACTTTTCCAAGAAAATAAACAATTACCTCGGAAAACTGGTATTACTTGGAACACAATTTGAGGTTTATGTAATCAAGTATTTATTTAACTCACTAACACCACAACAAGAGAGACTGATAATAGTAAAATGCCTAGTCATCGATGATTTATTAACCAGTAATTTAACATGCACATTTGACATTCTATCTTTAGTTTAAATATAAGATCATCTTCAACCTTGAATCTTATCATGATAAGAAGAAAATTGAATATTGCTATCTATACCATTTGAACCATCTCATTGAGTTCAAAATCTACAGATGTCCATTTACTGATTATTCAGCTATAGCTTGTTAATTGAACCATTTATTAGCTTCATTAACCACCAACCTTGTAAATATTGAACTTCTAAAGCAAGCAAATTTGTCTGAGCAGGTAAATTGGGGAGTTTATTTTCAGTTTACACTGATAGAAAACCATTTTTTAAGGAAAAAAAAGGGGAAATCCTACTTTTTATAAAATATATATTTTCATAATTGTAGAATATAATAACATTTTAACCATATTGTAATTGTCATACACAATTTATATGTATAAATATTGATTCAAGCAGATGAAACCAAATGAAGTAGAAAAAGGAAGACAAGCTGACCTCTGTAAAAGCAAGATTTACAAGGTAGGAAAGAAATTGTCCACCAGTTATCATGAGCACATTTGTGCTAACTAACCCACCCCTTATTTCTGAGGGTGATGTTTCGGCAATGTATACTGGAGCGGTCACCGATGCTATACCCACACCTAGGCCAACAAAAAATCGCCCCAATATCAGCACATACGGATTGGGTGCAGCGGCCATGACAACTGCTCCGGCTGTAAAGACAACATCCGCAAGAAGTGTAGCCTTCTTACGTCCATAAGCATCATTAATCCAACCTCCAGATGCAGCTCCAATGATTGCACCTACCAAGGCCATGCTGACAATAGTTTCCTGCCAGATAAAACCATCAGGATAATTCCAAACGGGGAAAGGTTCAAAATTAACAAATTATATGCATGTTAACCAACACTAGGAGTTATATAAGATACCGAGTTTAAGGGCCAATGGAAACATAAACCCTCCATGTCACCCAATTGCTCCTCTTCTGCACCTTTTGCAAACATAAGATTTGCCTATTTTTACCAGGAATTAGAATTGCTCATCCCGGTCAACTTAAAGCTAGCAGGTTCATGTACATACAAACTATCGAGTTTAGAGGAAACGGGATCTATAAACCCTCCCAATGCCTCAATTGCTCCCCTTCTGCACCTTTTACAAATGCGGGGTTTGCTTCTTTTTATTGCCAGGATTAGAATTGTCTATCCTGATCAACTAAAAGCTAGCAGCTGAATGTGCACACGAGATCTTGAGTTTAGGAGCCATGGGATCTATAAGCCCTCTAGAACCCCTCCCAATTGCTCTCCTTTTGGACCTTCGGCAAACACAAAATGTGCCCTTTTTTTTCTGGGATTAGGATCGCCTACCCTTTGAACTAAAAGCTAGCATTTGCATGCACTCACAAGCTATGTTACTCAGAATCAAGTCTAATTGTAACATGGGTATGTGCCTGAAACAAGTATGTTACACTTTTTTCCAAGAGTTCCATGTATTACGAGGATCCTTGGAGGATAGTATTCCAATACACTTGTCCAGGACATGTGTACTCCAAGAAAAGTGAAGAGTTTGAGTAGCAAATACACAAGATCCAACGATTTGCCGTAGGCATCTGCTGACATAGCTCTCATCATTTCTTCCTCTCCCATTCAATCAACCACACACACACACACACACATACAAAGGGAAGACTTTCTTCGATTCCATTTTTTTCATGAATGAAGTAAGTTTAGCATTTCAGAACACCTTTAAAAGCTGATAATACCTGCAGGAAACTACTCTGATTGACAACCTCGAAGTCATCTTTTATGTAAAGAAGGGCCCCTGAGATCACACCTGCAATTATTACCATTTCCAAATGAGAACTTTTGCTTGGCAAAAAAATGTAAACAGAAGAAGAAATGAAAACAATCAAGTCTTCCTGTTTTGTTCAGTTGAATTTCATTACCTAAATTAACAGTTTTAGGTAATGCTTAAGTTACAAAAACTTATTTGAACGAGAAATTAAATGAAAAACAATTAATGTGATCATGCTAAATTAAGAGTAAGTGCAAGTCTTTATTCAAGTTTCAAAATTGAGACAAGAAGTTTGATCTCTCAAAGCCGTAGATCAGTCCAATTCTGATGCTGCAATCCATGCATTCTAACAAAACTCAGTTTCATCTGCTGAAACATAGAACCAGACATTCAAACAAAACTTGGTTTGACCGACTGAAACATAGAAATCTTTTTATCAGATGAAGCATACATTCAAATAAAAGCTGGACTTTCATCCCCTATAACTGAAAAATAAAATTTTTCATCAGATGAACCCGACATTCAACAAAACATGGTTTCACCTACTGAAAGACACAAATCATTGTCATCAGATGAACCAGAGTATATACAGCAAATCTCATAAAGAACAAAGAGTTAGAAATGAGGGTTGAAAGGGATTTGATACCAGTGTCGTAGCCAAAGAGGAAGCCGCCAATTCCAGCAATCACAGTAAGTCTAAGAACATATAGATTACCGAAGTATGACATTCTTCTCTGTGGAAACAAATCCAGATACCCGGAACTCCCTGGTAAAGTATTTAGCGTCATATCTCCACCAAGAAAGCAACAATCAAATTCCTAGAAATGTCAACTCGGCTATCAACAATTAATTAGATTTTCAGCTGATTCCCAACAAGGAACAACTCAAGATTATAATTTTCTGATTCTTCAATCTTGATATTAAAAGAAAAAATCAATAAGAGTTGTCAGGAGAATCTCCCTTAAAACCCAGAAATGAAAACAAACAATCGCTTTCCTTGGGCTATATATTCAAGTCTCAAAACTCAAAGAAAATGTTTGATCAATGAAACAGAGCAAGCATTAAGAAACCCAAAGTTTTAATTTCAAATGAAAGCTAAATTCTCGTCAGGGAAAAAATCTTTCACTTTTCTTTCTTCTCTCCGAGAAAATAGAAAACCAATCTGATTTTCCCACAGAAATGTTGGGTTTTTGAAGTTTTTTTTTTCTCTCGTCTTTTTTTTTTTGGTAGGTTAGATTTTATTATTCAAGAATAAAGTTCAACAATAGGTACAAAGATCATAATTTACATTATCATTTCTATTGACATTTTTATCGTTAAGTTGAATACGAACATTCTCTTTGACATAATTAAGAATTTGGTTCGTTGTTTTTGATCCACCTTTAAAGATTCTTCTATTTCTTTCCTCCTAAATCAAGTAATTGAAAGCGTTCCAAGCTAGTCTTAGAATGATAGAAAGTAAAGATTTACCCTTCCATTTTTTAGCAACATCTTCTGTTCTTGAATCCCAAGTCTTGTGAGTATCACGTACATTGGAAAGGTTCAAGATGGAGTTCCAGATCGAGGAAGCATAGCTACATTCAAAGAATAAGTGATTCCTGGATTCAAGTTCTCATTACAAAGGATACAAAGACGGTCAGTAGTTATTCCCATACTGAAAAGCCTGTCACGAGTAGGAAGCCGATCAAGAAGAATCATCAAAGAAATCATGTTGTGTTTGGGTATATGTAGAGGAAACCAAAGTAACTTCTGCCAAGGGACCTTGTCTCTATGCTCCCTTATTTCCTCCCATATGTCTTTAGTATTGGTGATTCCAGTTGAGATAATAGGGAGGGCCTCTGTTCTTAGTTTAAGGAGTTTTCTGATGCTCCAGCTGAAGGAAGTACCCACATTGATTACACTTAGTTCTATGTTTTTAAAGACATAACAATGAATCCAAGCAACCCACAAAGATCCATTTCCAGCAAGGATTTTTCGAATGAGTTGAAACATGCAAGCCTTATTCCAAGAATTTAGATCCTTCAAGCCGAGACCTACTTCGGACTTGGGGCAGCTTAATCTGTTCCAGCTGACTCTGGCACCTTTGGCAGCTCTATCAGAACCTTTCCAGAGAAAAAGAGAGCATAGTTGTTCAAGACGATTGATAACTTTTTGGGGAAGAAGAAACTGCTGGCACCAAAAATTAACCACACTATAGAGGACAGTTTGATAAGTTCAAGACGACCAGCATAGCTAAGAAATTTTCCAGACCAATGGTGGAGTCTTGCATTGATATTGTCAAGAAGAGGAATACAATCAGTTTCAGTAAGCTTTCTAGTAACAAGGGGAACACCTAGATATCTTACTGGCAGAAATCCTTGCCTAAAACCAGTGGCAGATTTAACAGAATCAAGAATTTTAGCTGAGACACCAGCAGCAAAGAACTCAGTTTTGTTGGCATTGAGTTTAAGGCCATATAAGGTATAGAAGTGATTAAGAACACTGGTAACACCAACAATAGACTCAAGGTTTCCTTTACAAAAAATCAAAAGATCATCTGCAAAAGAGAGATGAGTGATGCCTAGCTTTTTGCATTTAGGATGGTAACCAAAAATCCCTTTGACAGCAGCAAGGTTAAAGATATTAGAGAGAATGTTCATAGCTAGCACAAAAAGAGTTGAAGATAGTGGGTCTCCTTGTCTTATACCTCTCTGGCCTTTGAAAAAACCTATTAAAGTTTCATTAAAAGATATGGAGTATCTAGCATTTCTGTAACAAGCTTCAATCCAGCCTATGAAAGTGGATGGTAGCCCTATGGCAAGGAGAATAGAGGATATGAAATCCCAGTTAAGAGAATCAAAGGCTTTTTGTAGGTCAATTTTGATAGCACTCATTGGAGAAATGTTATTCCTACCATAGCCTTTCACCAGTTCTTGAGCAAGAAGAGTATTGTCAATAATTGATCTACCTTTCACAAAAGCAGTTTGGTTGGGAGTTATAAGATCAGGCAGCAACAGAGTAAGTCTTTTAACAAGGATTTTAGTGATAATTTTGTATATCACTGAACAACATGAAATGGGTCTGTAATCTTTAACTTTGCATGGGTTTTGAATTTTGGGGATCAAAGCAATAATGGTAGAGTTGAAGGCAGGAGGAATATATGCCTCTTGGAAGAAGAAAATAATAGCATTGGTTACATCCTCCCCTACCACAGACCAGGAATTTTTGAAGAGCATAGATGTAAATCCATCTGTGCCTGTAGCTTTGTCGTTACATTGACTAAATAAAGCTTATTTTATCTCTTCAACAGTAACAGTCTTAATAAGGGCAGATGCAGTCTCAGTTGGCAGAGAAAAACGAAGCAGATTATTCAAGAAAGCAGGATCTGGAGGAAGAACATTAGGGTCAGAAGTCCCTAGTTGATTCTGGAAGTAATCTATGATTTCCTTAGCCATATCATCAAATGAATCCAGTCTTTTAACCTCATTGTTAGTTAGGACCCTGATGGTATCTCTTTTGAATTTAGAGGCAATAGCAGTAAGGAAAAGTTTGGTGCATTTGTCTTCTTCTTTTATCCACCTAACCTTAGCTTTTTGTTTAAGAAACATGAACTCAGATTCTTCAAGGGTAATTAACTCCTTTTGGACATTTAATTCATCTTCAAAAGAGTTTTTCCCATTAAGAGAAGAAACTTGAGCATTCTCCAGTTCTGTTCTTTTTAATCTAACCCTTGTCGAGATGTCACTAAAATTATCTTTGTTAAGTTTCTTCAGGCAAGGCTTTAAACATTTTAGTTTAAAGAATAATTTCTGCATCGGGTTGCCTTGAGTAGATTGCTGCCAAGAGAAAAGGACTTCATCAAGAAAGGTAAGATGTTTGATCCAGAAATTGAAAATTTTGAATGGCTTTTGTTTACTGATTTGATTATCTTTGGAAAGCCAAACTAAAGCCATACTGTGATCAGAGGGGCTAGGGGCTAGGAACTCAACAAAAGAATCTTGAAAAAAAGAAGCCCAATGAGGGTTAATTAACACCCTATCCAGTTTTCTTGCAAGATAATTATCCTTTTGCTTGTTGCTCCAAGAAAAGGTGGGGCTAAAAAAAGGGTGATCTTGAATAGAAAGGTGATGAACAACTTCTTGAAAATCAAGCATATCAGTGGAGGAATAAGGACCAAGAAGATGAAAGTCAGAACTTTCTTTATAGTGGAGGAAGGTGTTGAAGTCACCTCCCAGAATCCAAGGAAGAGTTCCATACATGGAGTTAAGGTCTTTGAGGTGTTGCCAAAGAGATCTTCTATGAGAGCCACTATTATTGCCTTAAATGGCAGTGATAAAGAAATTTGTGGACTTATAAAGACACTTAACAGTAATACTTTGATCATTGGAGTGGCAAGGGGAGAGGTCAATGCCATTCTTCCAGAGAAGCCAGATTCTACCATTGACAACAGAATCATAATTAGTGAGGACATTCCAACTCCTAAATACAGAGTGAAAGATTTTTTTTTCAGAATTTTCAGGTTTAACTATGGTTTCTAACAGACAGAGAATATCAACATTATAGAGATTAGCTTTGTTCAGAACCTTAATCTATTTTTGAGGATTATTGAATCCCCTGATGTTCTAGAAAGAGATGATCTTGTGGAATAGAGGGGGAAAACCCTCTATAATTTTTCCAGGAGAACTATTGGTCTTACTGATAAGATCTTTCTTTTTAATATTGAGCTCTTTGATAAGTTTAGCTACCGCAACAGCAGCAGGCCTTATTTTCTTGATTTGGATCTTTTTTTTATAGGAATAGTAGGTCTCATTAAAAACCTCCTTCTTAGTAGTCCTTTACCATGAGGTTAGAACCGACTAGCGGAAGGAGGAAAAGAGTACCTCAATATATTGATTTTAAAAAAAGATTACATAAGACTTAAACCACTCGTTGAAGATACATAAGACTTAAACACACTCATATAACACCCTCAGAATAAAACCTTTGAACCTAGTACAACATAGTGAACCACTACCCAATCCCCTCCTTAGCTAGCAAATCTGCCTCGCTATTACAACTTCTTGGAATCCACCTAACAATGACTTCATTCTCAGAAACCACATCCGCAATATCCTTAACAAACTTAAAAAGATAAAGTGGAACTGACTCCTGAAATTTCAACCAATCGACGGCTAACTTGCAATCACTTTTAATAATAAGCCTACCCTTCAATACCCATTATGATGCCACAAAGATGTCTAAACCTATTTTGATAGCTTTCAACTCTGCCAAAATGATAGGACTAAAACCTAATTTTTCTGAGAACGACATAAGCTTGACTTGATTCCAATCTCTTAGAATTCCCCCAATTCCAACTAACATCCTAACATAACTCACAGCCCCATCCACGTTAAACTTAAAAAAATCGACTGGAGGAGGGCTCCAGCAAAGCACATGCCTGTTAAAATCCGTAGTAGCTGAAATTTTATCAGCCAATGAAGGATCCCCAATTAAAGAATCCACTTGGATAGAGAGTAAAGGATACTTAGCAAGGAACCATTTCGCTAACCTTAACCTAACTGTGAAAAACAATGATGATGTATCCAGCTTACCTCTTTCAAAAATAATTTCATTTCGCATCTTCCAAATTGACCATAAAATAGCCCTCGGGATAAACTTCCACATATTATAATAAGGCCTCAGAACAAACCATGAATTTAGAACTGAAGACAGATCAGCAGGTAAGGCTAACTTGATACCCCAATAACCTATGATTCTGTTCCATAATACCCACGAAAACTGGCAGGAAAAAACAGGTGCTGAACTGATTCTTCAACTTGATTGCAAAAGGGGCATTGAATGTCCTCCCCTAAAGGAACCCCCCTTTTCTTCAATTCCACTCTAACCGCTAATTTATTAAGTGATACTTGCCAAAGGAAAACCTCTACTCGAGGAGGAACCAAACCCTACCAAACACATTTAGTCCACCTAAAGGGATCCTCATCAGTTGAGTAGAATGATTTCGTGCAAGCTTTGACAGAATATAACCCCTCACCCACATCGTCCCAAAGCATACAATCCTCCAAAGAATCATTTAATTTGATATCCTTGAGCCTATCCAATAATTCAACCAGTTGAACCACTTCCCAGTCACATAATTTCCTCATAGTCTTAATATTCCACTCCCATCCATTCGAATCAAAGCTACAAAAATCAACAACCTTACCCCCTTGATTAAATGAAAGGGCAAAAATCCTAGGAAAAAGAACTTTCAAAGGAAAATCCCCCAACCATGTATCATTCCAAAAGGAAATCGAATTTCCATTCCCAAATTGTAGCCTCGCATGTGATCTAATGCATCCTCCAATGAAATCATCCTTCATGTAATTATTTACAATACCTCTCCAATTCTAAGAGTCCTTGTGAGATAAGACCTTGTTGACATCCATAGAGTTACAACTAACATTATGTTTATAACATATGAAATTCTTCCACAAGGAATCTTTATCATTTGCAAATTTCCAAACCCACTTTCCCAACAAAGCTCTATTAGTAAGTTTCAAATCAACGACTCCTAGACCACCTCCACTCTTTGGTTTACAAATCTTATTCCAACTCACCCAATGCATTTTGTTCTTCTCCTCCCCTCCACCCCATAAAAAATTCGCCATCAAAGAGTTTAATTTTTGACAAATCTTAGACAGAATCTTGAAAATAGAAAGATAAAAGATAGGTAAGGAGGATAATACCGACTTAATAAGCACCAATCTACCGACCATGGACAAAGAGGAAGCTTTCCATCCCGCCAATTTCTTATCAAAGTTGGCAATTACCGGCTCCCACAGTTTTTCACAATTCCTTTTAGCTCCTAACGGAAGGCCTAAATATACCATCGGAAAGGTACCAATAGAGCAGCCAATGTCCTTAGCCCAATTTCCAAGGATGTCCTCCTCCACATTAATACCATAAAGTTTTCTTTTAACTAAATTAAGATGAAGCCCCGTCATAACACTAAAAATCATCAACACTCATCTAACATTTTTAATTTGAGTGATGGAGGCTTGGCAAAAGATAATTAAGTTGTCAGCAAACTGGAGGTGAGTCAAATTGAAACTGTTTTGAATCTTTGCAAAAGAAAACCCTTGAAATAAGCCTAAATCCACAGCTTTAGTTAACATCATATGAAGAAGTTCACCAACCACATTAAACAAAAGAGGAGAAAGACTGCATCCTTGTCGCAAACCTTTCGCAATATGAAACTCTTTTGTAGGAGACCCATTCAGTAAAACAGATATTGATGTTGTGGAAATACACTGCTCAATCCAAGAACACTACATTTCTTCGAAGCCCATCTCCTTCATAAGCCTTGACAAAATCTTCCATTCCACAGTGTCATATGCTTTGCTAAAATCCACTTTAAAAATAACCCCCTGCAACCCTTGTTTCCTCTAATAATCGATGCCTTCATTGGCTACACAGGCACAATCCAACAATTGCCTCCCCGGAATAAAGCGAAATGTGTAGGACTAACAATATCTTTAACACAAGATGACATTCTTTTTTAAAGGACTTTAGAAAGAATCTTATACAAGCTTCCCACTAGACTAATAGGTCTATAATCCTCAATACTCTCCGGATTACCTTTCTTTGGAATCAAGGTAATAGATGCATGATTTACCTCATGAACCCACTACTTTCCATTAAAGAAATTTGTAAAAAAACTCCATAATCTTCACCTTTAGCAACTTCCAATACTTCTTGTAAAAACCCATGGTGAAACCATCCGGCCTAGGAGCTTTTGCACTTTCAGAAGATGAAATTGCTTGCCACACTTCTTGCTCTGTAAACACCTCCTCTAGGAAATCAGATTGAGATTGAGACAACTGCTTAAAATCAAAATTTAGTCCCTCAACTTCCAGTGTTGTTTTCTCATTGTAGGCATTCTTGAAAAAATTAAACACACTGTCTTTTATCTGTTCTGGATCCGAGATTAAATTGCCTTTAAATTTGATAGAGTGAATATAGTTGATTCTATTCCTTTTCATAGCACTCGGGTGAAAAAACCTTGTATTCATGTCGCTATCCTTAATCCATCTATTTCTGGATTTTTGAAACCAAATTCTCTCCTAGATCTTTAACAGTCTCCATAATTCTTTTTTAAGTTCAATCAATTGGTCTCATTCCCCTACAGACAAATTTTCACCTTGACACTTTAAGTCCAAACTGTTAATTTTAATTTCCAGCAACGAAATGGACTCTGCCAGTCCTAAATGTCCACTTCCAGACCAGTTCCTGATTTTATTTTTTGCACCCTACAACATTCTGAAAATTCCACCACTATTATTCTTCTTATCTTCTACTTCCAGAGAATCAGCAACTAAGTCATCAAAACCATGTTCTTCTAACAAAAAATTAAAAAACCTAAAAGGTTTTGGACCCCAATTTATAGAATTATCCTCCAATAAAACTGGATTATGGTCTGAAATAGATTTCGGTAAAAGAAACTGCACAATGTTCGGGAAATTCTTAAGGAATCTTGCACAGATTAGGAACCGGTCTAGTCTCACCCATGTTGAATCTTCTCTATTGTTGCACCAAGTGAAAGAACCTCCTGACATAGGTAAGTTAATAAGGTTGGCATTTTGCACAAATGACCTGAAAATATCGATAGTATGCCAATTTTGTGACTTCCCTCTCTTTTCTTCCGAATCAAGATACGCATTGAAATCTCCCCCTAGACAAACTGGTAAATTTCGAGCTCTAACAAAATTCAACAGTTCCCCATAAAAATCCTCCTTCTCAGCTTCAACTGAAGGCCCATAAACATTGATAACTACAAACTCCATTGTACCATTCTTATATTTTCCCACTAACGCCAAAAACCTACTATGCATATATTGATCTATGTCATGAACCACACTGTCATTCCATAAAGAAATTAGACCCCCCGAAGATCCCTGTGCTGGAGAGACCA